AAAGAAAGAAAGAAAGAAAGAAAGAAAGAAAGAAAGAAAAAAGCAATTCAACAGAGTAAACACATATACCATACATGAAATATGCCATACCCACAATTTTTCACTTTTGAAAAGAGGTATGTTTTCTCAACTCAGGCCAAATCTGGTTTTAAAAGCAATCAATTTGTAAATCTGAAAAAGCTATGTAAACATGACATTTAAAAATGTTATCCTTATAACACCCTTGTGAGGTAGGCAAGAACCTCTATTTTCAAGATTAGAAAACAGGTTCAATGAATAATTCACCTATACTCCAGATTTAATGCAGAGTGAGAATACCCTCTAAGATTCCTCTCAGCTCTGACACCCTAGGATTCTCAATACCCACTACTACCCAATACAAGAACATATTCCCATCTCACTCTCACTTCATGGCCAGAAGACCACAATCTGACAATAAGAAATAAAGCAAAGAGAAAAAGGGATGTTTTGGAAGGAGTCAAAGCCAACCTGGGGCACGAGGAGCCTGGGCTGAGGAAGGCTGTAGCTGGCTGAGGTCTTCTCGTCTCTGCTTTGGCCGGGGTCTAGTTGAGGCCGTGAGCAAACTCAGCTCCTGCCAGCTTTCCTCAATGGACTTCTGCTCAGCTTTGACATCATCCTTGTCAGGCGGGCTGGTAGCACGGTCAATGAGCTGAAGGACAGATCACACAGTCAGAAATAGGCAAGAGGAAGAAGGAACCTAATTCCTGGGGACCCCTCATTACCACCCGGGCAATGGACAACTTTTAGCATTCTTCCCTTTAAAGTGGCTAATACCACACTAATGATAATAATCATAGCTAATGTATATAAAGTGTACATTTATACATATGTATGCATGCATGCATACACACACACACGCGCGCGCCTTAAGGTTTGTAAAGTGCTTGAATTATCTCATTTATGGATGAGAAAACTTAGGCTAAGAAGGGAAGTGACTTGCCCAGGGTCACACAACTAGCAAATCCTGTATGAGGCAGGACTGAATTCAAGTCTGCTTGACTTTCAAATCCAACACTCTATCCACTATTCCACCTACCTGCTTCAATACAGCCCAGAAGGTTAGGGACTTATCTCCTTTGCAGTGGGTGCCCACTGGGGCTAACCCACATCAAAACTCAACTGAATCTTGAATGGTGATACAGAAGGGAGGACAGCAGTGATTTACTATCTTTGTACTCCACCCAAATCATCCCAGTTGTAACTCATACTCAAAGGGCCCATTGCTGTAATTTCAGCAATAGCTAAAAAACCCTATTGCCTTTTGTATGAGAATGTTGCTCAAAGTACATGCAGTTGTCTCCAATTACAAGGATAGGCTTGCCATCTACACCACTGGGTCTGGCCCTACTGACAACTAGAACAGAGATGACATTGGTCTCATTAGCATTGTGTTCTGACCCTCGAATAACCAGTCCTAGAACCACCAAAAGGGATGGCTCCTATTGAGCAATAATAGGAGAGACAATTTAACCATCTAAACATTCTGCCTCAGCCCTCATAACCAAGGCTTCTCCAATGGCCACATTCAATTAAAGCTGGGTTTCCATAAATAGCAGTTACGCAGAAGTGGAAGCAGGACAGCACTGTCCTTTGTCCTCTAACACTCCCCTCTCTGTAGGACACCCTGCCTTCATCTGAGCAGACATGGCTGAGGAAGGAGAAGGGGAGATCCTTTCAGGCAGACTCTGTGCCAAGGGCTAAAGGAAAAGCCACAAGCAGCTGGATTTCCAAAGTTAGGTCCTTCTTTTGATTCCACAGCTCATCTCCCCTACTCCTGACATCTCCTTTCTGAGACAAGCCCCTAAACAAAGCTCTATTCCCGGCCTCACCACCTCAGGCTTTCTGGCTTGACAGAGGGACAGGAACAAAATTAAATACAGGGGCATCAAATACTCAGCCTTAGGCACACTTGCTCTGAGAAGAAGGATATCTGCTAGAACAAAGTGGCCCTGAAGGAAGGTGACCTACACGAAGAGGGGCCAGGAGGGCCTACCAAGTATAGTAAGTGCAAAGCTGGTATTTGTCCTGGCTCAGACAGTGATGATTTTCTCTTCTTCCCTCAGACTTTCGTCCAAGTGATGACTGACTGCTGGTGGAAAAGTCAGAAAAATGCCCTCTATCTATACAGGGTGACTCTAAAGATATCCTCTAAACAAGCAAAAATCCAACCACCTCTCCCAGCCTCACCTCCACCAAAACTAAAAATAGTAACTCATTCTTAAACCAGTCTTAGTAACAGAAGAGGGTGGGTACTTTGCAGGTAGAAAAGTTCTGATTCAAAGATCACGTTACTTTATAAAAAGGTCACAGTAATGGTGGGGCATCAGATTATGTTTTGAGTGTTCTCCAAAAGATGGGAAAGATTTTCACTGAACTAGGCACTTTTGACCAGAAGCACATATAACGTGGCCAGAGATATACACCCAAGATCTGTGGCCTTACAACTTCCAGTCTGTCACCAGCCCTATGTTCTAATAGAGTTAAGTGACCTAGATCATCCAGGCTTACCAAATTTTAACAACCCATTTAGAAACCCGTTCTCCCAATGCGTCTGTCACCCTTCCAAGCAGAATGCTAGGAGATCACACAGAACATAAGAGAAAAGAGTATGGAGGAAAGAGAGCTTCAAGTGTTTAGAAACCCAGAACCTAAAAAAAGGGATGAGAAAACCTCTTCCTCATTTGAGGAACTCATAAGGAAGGTTGAGGCAGCTCTGGAGTATTCAGGGACAAGTGCTAAGATTCAGACTATAACCAGGGAGGTAGTTACCCCTAGCATCCTGGAGAGACTAGGCATCAGGGATTACCAGATGAGCGATACCCTGTTTCTACCCCCAGGTGCCCCCTTCAAAACAGGTTTCAGAAGGAACAAATCACCTTTCCCTGACCCCTTGGTCTTACCCGCTTCACTGCCAGGGTGGCGATACCCAGGACAGCAGCACCACCCACACCTAGCACCAGCCTGGCATTGGCCAGGAGGAAGTCCACGGCACTGCTTAGAGGGTCTTCATCTCGGTGCTTCCCCCTCTTCTGGGAGAACTCTGCCATGATCCACCTGCTGAGACAGGAAAGGGTAGAGGCAGGGCTGGGTAGAGCACACCTCTGAGTGGGGAAGACAGAAGGCCACGACTACGGACTGAGGAGGACAGTGTGCAGGATTTGGTGCCTTTTAGAGAAGTTTGCTAAAGCAAGTGGGACAGATTCACTTCCTCCTGCATAGACATAGAAGGACCACCTCTCCCTCCCTTCAAAAATAAAACTACTGGGTAGGACTGGAACAGACAACCCCCAGCTATGAGGCAGACATGAAGAATGGCACCTGTGAGGCTCCAACACTGGGTATTATTATTTATGACTTTCTGGTCCTATCTAGTGGCCAAGAAGCCTTCCCTCCTACTGGGCCTCCCAGGCCACCCCAAATGCCAGGGTTTGATTCTGGGTTTCTATATGTTATTTTCCCATTCTGGATATTGGTGTGTCTATCCCAAGACCCTTCTCTGTTCTGTGTTCCTACTCCACCTTCCAAGGCTCACAACTCACAAAAGCTATCTTAAGCCAATGAACGTGATCAAAGACACTGAAACCAGTATTAGCACCTTATTAAAGGAAGGGGCCAAATCAGGAGTAAGGAACATCCAACTTGTGGTTCGAATGCAAAGTTAAGCCTGTTCCCTGGTCCCCAAGGACCCCGGAGACAGAAAAATTTGGTTTTACTGAATGTAGTCTAAAACCAGCTTGGGGGAGAAGTGATTTTTATTTTTGCACTGAAATGCTGACACATATGCAGAAGTCATCAGATTTCTGGTAATCCAGGAAGGAGAGGCAAAAGGTACCTTTGGCATAGACTAGGGAGAAGGAAAGGGAAACAGCTGGCTCTAAGGGTTGTTCTGTCCCCACATCTGGCCCTTCACAAATGAATGCCACCTCTTTCCACTCCCCCAAACACACACACACACACACACACACACACACACACTCACTGTCACTCTCTCTGCCCCCCCACCCCGGACCTTCAGGATGAAAGCCAATACTATAAGGAAGGACTCGAAAACCAACAAAAGAAAGTACATTCCACTGAGTACCAATATGGAGGGAGAACTTGGGCAACAGCAAGATTAACTCCCCTAGATGAGAGAGTTTCCTGATCAAATGCAGAAACCACAGGCCATGGAATTGTCACCCTGGACATCCTGAGGGGAAGGGCTGGGCGAACTGACCTCTCAAGCTCCCTTTCAGCTCTCAGTGTCCATGACTTACTAATTCTCAAGGCATCTGTGCCTTGGAGTGAAGTTGCCCAGGTAACCAAATACCACCACTCACCAATGCCAGGGAAATGAATCAGGCAGAGCTCAAGCCCCTAACAAGTATTTCTGCCATGACCCTTAACTTCCAGAGACTAAAAATATCGCCTGGGCAGCTCGTGTGATGTGGTGTAAAGGAAGCTAGAACTACTGCCACTTGCTCTGCCCAGTCATAATCCTTAAGGGAGGAGCGCCACAAAACTAAGAGACTCCTAGCTCAAGTCTGGGATCTGTATCAGTCTCAATGTATGGCCTTAGGCAAAACACTTCTCATCTTTCCATACGTAAAATCTGAAATAATTCCTGCTCTCCATCTTCATTAGTACAGTTATAAGATCTGATGAGAAAACACAACGGTAGTGTTATCCTCTCATAAGGATGGGGATTTGAAGCCACCCCATTTGGCACTGGCGCCTTGACTGGGTAAGAATGTTTTTTTGACTAAATCAAACAATTAGAATTCATATCTATATCAAGGTAGGGCGTCTGTGGTTGGAGCAAAATTCAGTTTACCGGAACATGTAGGTAACAAAATAGCGTTTTATAGTGTTTGTGGATAGACAGGCCTCACAAAGGAAGTCACGGAAGAAAGCCAAGGACTCCTCCATATATCTCTTCTCTGCCACATCTAAGTTGAATCTTCGCTCCATGCTTGCTCCAACAGCCCAGAATCCTGTCCCCAACTCTCTCCCAAAATGGCTTTTGCCAGGGTAACCCAGCCTCCCACACAAAGGCTTTGATTGATTTAAGGAAGTAATCAGGCCCTGTTTCACTCAGTTCAAAGATTCAATCAAAAAGTGATCCTAGTCAAAGCATTAGAGATGGCATCAAGTATCAAACTCACATAGAAACAAGAGCACATCCACCCTGAGTTGGACTACTCTACACAAATGAGATAAATGAATTTTATTTTATTTCATTTTTTTTTACTTTTTGGTTAGGCAATGGGGTTAAGTGACTTGCCCAGGGTTACACAGCTAATGTGTGACCTAAGTCAAGTATCCCAAGATAGCCTACCCTCCCATTTGATTAACCAATCAAAGTTGAGTAGGCACCCCTCAGGAACACCTCTCCAAAAGGTATATAAATTGTGATTCCACTGCCAATAGAAATCTAAGAGAGACAGCCAAATGATCATCCTTTTATTAATAACCTGCCGGCCTTATTAATAAAATGATTAAATTACCCAAACCTATGTCTCTCAAACCTTTTAAAAGGTCACAACAAACAGATATTAAGGATCCAAGGTAGGACTAGACCTCAGGTCCTCTGCTCCAGTCAGTGCTCTTTCCATGGTACGATGGAGTCTAAACCTACCAAGTGCCCTAGTGTTCTTTAAAGTAGACTCCAGACAGTGCAAAGAACAACAAACCAAGAGTTAGGAAATCTGGATTCTAGTTTTTGCTATTAACTGTGTGGCCGTGAACAAGTCATTTCCTACTTTCAGTTGCCTTAATTTCCTTCTCTATATAATGAAGGGGTTAGACTAGATGGTCCCTTGAAGCTATGTCATCCTATGGTTTCTCCAGAGGACAACTGGGAATTTTGCCTGTGCAAAGGTAACCTGGATTTTGAGAGAATGGTGGACAGTGGCTGGTAATCCTAGAAGCTGTTATCAGCCACTCTGGAGAACAGCCACTCCACCTCAAGTGGCCCTCTCACTAGTCACCCCTCCTGTTCCACATTCTCCCTTGAAATGACCTCCCAGGCCATTGCCATTCCCTGAATGCCTGGAGGAGTCTCTGCAGGAAAGGCTGGGGAAGAGGGAGCCAGGCTAAGCCAAAGAAGAGGTCTTAAAATCACCCCGGAGTTCATTAAGACAATCTGGCCTTGCCTATCCAACTCTTAAGAAGTGAGTTTAAGCAGTTCAGCCCAACCCACAATTCAGCTGTTTGGCAAGACGAACTAGGCAGTGTGGGGAACTACAGGAATACAGACTCTCCTAGTTAAAAATAAAGCTGACTCTAGCAAACACTTCCAAACAACAACAAATGGGGACTCTTTGGTGTAATGAACTAAACTCCTCCCAGTTTTACTCAGAGTACACCTAGCTGCATGACCTTGGGCAGTTCGCTGCCGCTTCTCTGGACTTCATTTCCCTTACTGCAAATTTCCCTTTTGCTATATAGCAAAAACAGGATTTGGATTACATGCTCTCTAAAGCCTATTACCTCCAAGAATTCTGTAAGTCTAAGATTTTAACAACTCAACCTAAGAACTAAAACAGAATTATGTAGATTGATTCCTGATGCCTAGGCCCTATTTCTTCTATGCCAGTCCCACCTGAACCACCTCTCACCATTCTCCAAGTAATCCTAACTCCTTTCTCACCCTTCTTCCACCCCCACCGGTTCCACCAAACTCTGGAGCCACGACCACGCTATGAAGTGGCCCTGGGGAAAGCTCTGCTTGCTGTACCCAGGCCGGCCTCCATGTCCGTGCTTTGGAGACTCCAGAAGGGGCATGGTCCTGCTTGCTCTACCCAGGGAGACTTCTCAGCCCATGCTTTGCAGACTAGAGTCCAGGAAAAGCACGGTCTGCACCCCGGAGGTTGAGGCCAAAGACGGGTAGCCCGTCCCAATAGCTTCTTCTCCCAGCACTCGCTTTGTGACCTTGGGCAGGTCCCTTGACCTCTCTGATTTCCGGCTTCCTTACAGGTAAAAATGATGGGGCCGGACTCGAAGGTCCCTTCCAGCTCTGGATCTATGATCTTCCCACGAGTCCTCTTCCTTTGCCTCCGATGCCCACTGCAAGTCTCGAGCCCTCCCGCACCAGGGCAGGAGGGCCTTGGGGAACACCTGGGACGCTTGCTCCCCCCCTCCTCCGATTCCCGTAGGCACCGTGGGCGCTCCGGGAGTGAGATGCGGGGAGGGCGGCAGAAGCATCATTCGCAGCCTCGGACTCCAGCGGGGCCGGCGCAGGCGCAGTCATCGCGGAGGCTCCCTCCCCTCCTCCCCTCCCCGCCCCCAGGTGGGGGGGAACAAGGACCCCCCGCTGGGAGAAAGGCTCGGATCTCTCCTTGCGCCTCCAAACACTTCCCCGCGCCCCGGAACGGCCCCGGTCCTCTGTCGTCGGGGCCCCTCGGACAACCGAAAGACCTTCCTACCTGCACTGCTGCTTCACCGCATCACCTGGGAAGAGAAGGCCAGGCCCACGGTGAGCCCCTCGTCCTCCTCTTCCTCCTACTCCACCTTCTTCACCTCCCCCTCCCCTCCTCCTCCTCCTCTTCCTCTTCCCCCAACTCCAAGACCCAGGACTGGCCCCCTCTCTAACCTCCAGCCTTCACTTACCAGCGCGCAGCCGCAAACCCGAAGCCCAGGGGGCGGAACCCTGACGCTCGTCTCGGTCCGGACTGACTACCCACGCGTCCAATCAGAGGCATGCCGTCTTGTCCCCAGCGTTCCAAAACAGAGCTCAACGCGGCCAATCTCCCAAAGGCCACGCCCCCCCCTTAACGGGCATTCCCTGACCTAGGCGAAGCATCCCGCGGACGACGCGGAGGCGTGTCTTTGATCTTAAAGGCACAGCGCTCAATTGCCGGCCCAAAAGACCGAGGAAGCCGGTAGGGATTCGGCCTTGGAATTCATCCGCTCCTCACGCGGCGGAAGTGGTCATTGTGATGAGCACACGTTTGTGACGTCACCGGTAAGTTCTAGAGAACCGGGCCTGGAGCACGTGGTGGTAGGACGAGTCCTTGCGTGGCTTAGTGACTAAGTGGGTAAAAGAGCTGGACCTACCCAAGGTGCAAATTCTGGAGCCGTTTCGGACACGCCCTGGGCGTGGCTCTGGGCCCAAGGGTCATCTCTCCTGGCACCGGACAATTCCAAATCTCTAAACTGCCTGGTCATTCTGTTCAAAGAGCGTTTGTTAAGGGCTAAGCCTTGGAGATAAAGAAAATGGCCAAAGAACTGCCCCTGCCCTCAGGGAGCTTACAGTCTAATGAGAGAGAAAACATGCAAACAGCTAGGATAAGTTGGGGATAGTCTCAGAAGGAAGGCACCCGCATTATGGAGAGCTGGGGAAGGGTTTCCTGAGAAGGCTGGAGACTTGAAGGATGCAGGGAGGTCAGGAGGTGCCACAGAGGAGGGAGAGAATCCCTGAAAGGAACTGGAGGATCTCATTTAGTTTAAGGAACACAAAGGAGAGGGTGTTAGTGGATGGTGAGGATTGCTTTGGTAAAGGGAGTTTCCTCACCAGGAATTTCCACATCAAGTTAGGTCCACAAAATAAAAAAAGTTCTACTCCTACCACATGCTCCAGAGGGACATATACCTCCCCTAATGTGGTTTGGCAACTCTATTCTCTCCTTTTTGGATAGGTGTTGTGAGGCCAACTGTGCCAGGCCTTTACAGGTAGAACAGGTGGACAGCCACAACTTGGACCACTACTATCAATGTCAAGAGCAAATTTCTGAGACAAGCTTGCCCCTCCTTTAGGATTGTGAGGGGAAATTCCTGTTCAGGTTAAAAAGTTGGGACCATCCTCTGAGGATCCTTCCTTCCTACAAGTGAGAGTCTGTGACAGTGAGATCAAGTTCTGACCCCATGCAAAATCACATGCAACGGCCAGAGTGTATCTGTGACCCAAAGAGCTAACTCTTAAAAATACATATATAGTGTTATTGTTTTCTTTTGTTTTTTCATCACTTATATTTCTCTGTCACTTGTATGTCCTTCATCTCTCTGAGAACCATCCTTTATAATGCGGAATTAAAAAAGAGAAAAAAATAACAGTTAATCAAAACCAACCAAGACACGGAAAGAAGTCTGAATGCAATGTTCCACACGCATAGTCCTGACAACCTCTGCAAAAAAGTGGAGAGAGTTGCTTTCTCATATCTCTTATTTGGGACTAAGGTTAGCATTTAATTTTGAATCTTTTGTTACTTTTTCCATTTACATTGTCGTAGCATACATTCAGGAGAGGACAAATGCATGTAAAATATATAGCATATATAATGTGAATAAGTACATATATATACAAAGTAGTTAAATCCAAGGTAGTTTGGGAACTTGGGCACTAATGGTTGAGGGAATCAAGAAAGACTTCATGGAGAAGAATGTGCTTGAACTGCCTCTTTAAGTAAGTGAGGGTCTCTAATTGACACAGTTAAGAAAAGCAGGAAGATAAGAGATGGAGTGTGTTGTGTGAGGAACAATTAAAAGTCCAGTTGGGCTGGCTCAGAGTGTAGGAGAGTGATAAATGTCCATTGAGGCTAGAGTTTATATTTTATCCTATAGGCAATGGGAAACCACTGGAGCTGGGTGAGTAGGGAGTCAAATAGTCAGGTCTTTGTTTAAGGAAATTACTTGGGCAGCAGGTGTGGAAGATGGACTGGAGTGGGGAGAGACCTGAGGCTCTTGTAATAATCTAGGTGAGGGGTGATGAGAATCTGAATAAAGGTTGGTAGTTGTGTGAATGAGAAAATGGGTCCATTGTAAGAGATGTGAAGGTAAAAATGGCATGATTTCACAACTGATTGAATGGAGGGAAGGAGTGTGAAAAGTTGAGGATAATGCTGAAATTACAAACCTATGAGACCAGAAGGATAGTGGTGCCTTTGACAGAAAGAAGGGAAATTTGGAAAAGTGGAAAAGACATGTTGAGTTTAAGATATCTCTGGGACAACTGATTTGAAATGTCCATTCGGCAAATAGCTATTCATTACTGGAATTTAGGGTAGAGACTGGGACTGGATATATAGACCTTGAACTCATCTGCATAGAGATGATAAACTCCTGTGAGCTGAAGAGACAATCAGTGGAAACTATTGAAAACCGATTTATAACTTCACTAAAGTTGCAGGCTTTCAAATAAACTCATAGAAATCAAGAGCATTTCTATATAGGGGGAAAAAATCTAGAAAGCAATAATAGAGAAGTCTCATTCAAAATAATTACAAAATCTAAATTACAAAATCTGGAAATCATCTACGCAATACTTCTATCAATACAATTACAAAACAAACACTCCTTAAAGAAATAAAGAACAACTGAAAGAGTGAGAAGGGTATTCAATATTCATAGCTGGACCATACCAATATAATAAAAATTACAATACTCCCAAAATTAATTTTAAAATTTGGTGTTATACCAATCAGCTATCAGGATTAGCTGTTGTCAATTTATGGTATGGACTCCCATCACTGGACCTTTGCTGCTCTCATCTTGCAACGGCTGAGGCTTTCTATTAAAGAGAAGAAGATACAAAGAGGAGGCAGCTCCATTCCAGCAAAAGCTAGGAAGACATACTCATTGCCCTTACACATTCCTCCCTAGTGGGCTGATAGGTGATTATAAAACCCAGGTTTTATAATCTCTGTTATGGGAAAAATATGTCCTCTTTGAGTTTGTGTGGTAGGTTACTGTTGTTGAATAAATCTACCGCGATGCAGAAATTATAGAAATAAAAACCTAGGTTTTATTATGCTTAAGCATGGGTTCAGGTAGTAGAAAAATAACCCTGAACCCAGATTGGAGTTTCTGACAAGCCTTTATAGAGAAAATTATATCAAAGAGACAGAAATAATTTTTTAACACATAAAAATGTTTATAGCATCTTATGCCATAGAGATCACACAGGCCTAGTTAGATAGATTCATTATCTCATGCTTCCTTCAATTAAAGTTAAACAAACTAAGTTAGAACAAATTAGTAAACAGACTAAGTTACTGATTTAAAACACTTGAGTTTGCGAAATCCTACATTTATTTACAGAACTGTAAAGCTGCATTTTAAAGAAGTCATAATGGGCTAGTTGAGGGGGAGGGATTTATTTACAGGTCACAAAGATAGTCAGAGGTTCAACATCAGGGAAATTCTTCCACAAGTAGTTAGCTAGGAGAATCCTTCCACAAATAAAATCCTTTGGGAGGTTTTTAAAGATGCTGCATTCCCTTCTTCCTGTCTTTAGTTTCTTATCTCAAAAATGTCAAGTCTTCCCTTAATACTATCATTCCATGAGTCAGGTTTTAGCCAAGTGAGGTTAATATTAACGGGAAATAGGTTTCAGTTAGCCACATAGTCCAGGAGGAAAATGAAAAACTATCATCACACCTCCAAAAAATAAATTTCCTGAAAAGAGGTCCTTCCTTGACAAGAATTGCTAGAAAAACTGTAAAGCAGTTTGACAGAAATTGATTTAGAATAATTCAGTTATTTTAAGGGAACTTCAGTTGTAGGGTTTGGCCCATGTGACAGTCAGTAAACAAGGATTTATTAAGTGTTTACTATGTAACAGGCAAGGTTCTAAGTGCTGGAGCTATAAAGAAAAGCAAACATACCTGTCCTCAAGCAGCTTACATTCTAGTGTAGATAAATTGATAAATAAAAGATATATACAGAGTAGATGTAAGATAACATTAGAGGTAAAGGCTTTTCTAGAAGATGGGGGGACCTGGAAAGGCCGCCGGCAGAAGGGTGGGATTTGCACTATGATAAGAGGTGGGGGTAAAGAGGCAGGACATTTCACTTCCCTGTGGTACTATACCACTATGAATAGAGACCCTGGGATACCAGAAAAGCAGATTGGAATGGCCACTGTTTACAGTAAGGAGGGTAAGGAAGTAGAGCTAGGGAGGAGCTTATCTGGGGTGCACCATCAGGTGGCTTCCTATTTTGAGGATGTGCTCATCAGCTGTTTCTGTGCTGCTGAAAGAATGCAAACGCTTTCAGCAGAGGAAACTCTGAGAAGCCTTCTGGAGAGATTTACTTTGCCCCTAAAACTTCACCAGCTAGCCAGTAGCTTATTTATTCTACCACTTATAACATCATTGAAAACCAAGGTAAGAGACTTGTCTAAAAGCTAGTAAGCCCAGAGAGGGAAACGATATATATCCTTTGGGATGGAAGATGCCACCAACTTATAGGTAAACTGAGGCCCAGAGAGGGGAAGTGACACACCAGGTCACAAAATTAGTGTCTCTGTTCAGCTAGGAACTGAGGAAAGGATAAGTCTAAATGTTTAAATGTATCTGTGAAGTCATCAGTGTGGACTTTCCTTCTAACAATGCGGATGGCAGCCTGTTCATACTTGTCCATCCTATGTGACTGGTCCATATCTTCCCATGATTTCATTACAGGAGGCCAACCCAATATTCTGGAGGAGAGAGTGTAATGCTTCCATTTTTCCTGTTATCTGAGGATGTTTATCTGAGCACTTTGGCTTGCTCACCTTGTACCCATCATATTTTTCTTTTCTCTTTTTTAAAGAATAAGGTTATCTCTGTTGTCATATATTTTAAGGAATCTTAAATAATTTTGACTTGTGGATAGGAGACACTTTTTTGGAATACAGCCTTAAAGGCCATGTTTTGTTCTACTGAATCAAATGCCTTTTTTTGTGGGTTCCTTTTATTTTTTAAAAATTATTTTTTAAACACTTAAAATTTTTTTTTGAGTTCCAAATTGTCTCCTTCCAGCCCCTCCCCTCCCCTTGAGGAGGCAAGCAATATGATATCAATTATACATGTGACCAAAAAAAAAAAACCAAGAGAAATAAAGAAGATGAAAAATTATATTTCAGTTTGCACTCAGTTTATCAGTTCTCTCCCTGGAGGTGAATAACATATTGCATCATGAGCCCTTTGGAATTGTCTTGAATCATTATATTGCTAATAGCTAAGTCATTCACAGTTGATCATTGTACAAAATTGCTGTTACTGTGTACAGTGTTCTCCTGGTTCTGCTCACTTCACTTTGCATCAGTTTCTGAAACCATCTTACTTGTCATTTCTTATAACACTATAATATTCCAACACAATCATATACCACAACTTGTATAGCCATTCCCCAACTAATGGACACCCCTCAGTTTCCATGTCTTTGCACCATGAAAAGAACTGCTACAAATGTTTTTGTGCATATGCATCTTTTTCCTTTGATTTCTTTGGGATACAGACCAAATAGTAGTATTACTGGGTCAAAGGACATGTGGTTTTATAGCCCTTTGGGGATAATTCCAAATTGTTCTCCCGAATGGTTGGACTATTTCACTGCTCCACCAACAGTGTATCAATGTCTCTATTTTTCCACATTCCCTCCAGCATTTGTCATTTTCCTTTTCTGTCATATGAGCCAATCTGATAGGTGTGAGGTGGTACTTCAGAATTACATTTTAATAAAATGCTTTTTTTTTGTAATCAGCAAAATAAGTACAGTGGGATCTTGAATTCCATATATTTTTTCATCAGTTTTGTAATGGTAAAAATGTGATCATGCTATTTGCCAAAGCCTGTCCTTAGTGTATAAATGATTCTCATTAAAATTTCATATAAGAGAAAGTAGACATACAGGCCAATAGTTTTTCTGTATTAATAAAGTAATTTTATTTTTTTCAATCCCTTTGGTAACTTCCTCTGTTTAAAGTACTTTGTAAATCAATTCTTGATACCTTGATAATCATGTTGCCTCGAGCATGGATATTCTGTATATATACTCGGTCTAATCCAGGTGCTTTTCCTGTTTTTGTTCTCTTCACTGACATTTCTACCTCCTCTATAAGTACATCTGGTATTGTAACCTTAGGGACCAAGTATGGCAGCTTTACATTATTATGAGATCATTGGTCTGGAGCTGGAAGGGAAGTCAGAATCCATCTGGTCCAAGCCTCACGTTACACAGATGAAAGAACCGAGGCCCACTTGGGCAAGTTAAGTGATTTGCCGAAGGTCACAGGCAATAAGCATCTGAGGCCAAAAGTATGAGATTTGAACCTAGGTCAGTGCTTTTCAGTATAACATGCTGCCTACAGAAAACAGTTTGTTAGTCACGGCTTTACAGATCTTTTCTATTTTTCTTTGGTTTATTGTGCTTCCATTTTCACCCCTGAATGCATGCTTGAAAGATCTTTGATTAGTTGGGACTCTAGCCAGGCTTTCTCCAGACTGGCTTAAGTGTAAATACTGGTGTTAAATAAAACTGTATACTTTACATTTGCTGTTGAAATTATCCCACAACGTCTTCCCCATTACCCCCATGCCCATATAAATGCTCTACAAACAAAACACAAGAATCACCCTTTTAAATCAGCCCTAAGTTTCCTTTCTTCTACCAGTCATAGTTTGGAGAAGACCAGGGCTTCCTTCTCTGATTTCAATATTGAAGGTCAGTTAATAATAACTTGGTATGAATTGAGCATCCAGGAATTTGTCCAAACCTTTTTTGAACTACTTCTTACTGGCCAATCAATGGGCAGAAAAGAACAGCATAGATTCTGATAGCTCCAGCCACACTGAGGGGTTAGTTTCCTTCTTACTGACTCCTTTTATTTTTCTTTTCTTTTTTTAATCTGTTGGGGTTAAGTGACTTGCCCAAGGTCACACAGCTAGTAAGTGTCAAGTGTTTGGTCTGAGGCCGGATTTGAACTCAGGTACTCCTGACTTCAGGGCCAGTGCTCTAACCACTGCACCACCTAGCTGCCCCAAACAGGTGTCTATACCCCTGTGCCAAAGCCCATTGGTATGGGACTCTCACCACATTGGTGAAGATGAATGCCCTTCCCTGTGTGAGGGGTGGGGTGGAGTTCTTTTTTTTTGTTTTTTGGTTGGGCAATGGGGGTTAAGTGACTTGCCCAGGGTCACACAGCTAGTGAGTGTTATGTGTCTGAGGCCGGATTTGAACTCAGGTCCTCCTGAATCCAGGGCTGGTGCTCTATCCACTGCACCACCTAGCTGCCCCCTCTTATTGACTCCTAATATCTTTCCTCATACATTATCTCATCTCATCCAACAATCACACTTTTCTCCACATGGATTTTGGGAAGCCTTTGTTAATCCATGGGAACAGATACGATATCTCTCTCCTCTCCCTCTCACAGAAATGCTATAATTTGTAATAAAGTTACTGGCTTTATTAGTGTTTTACTACAAAATATGTTGACCACATAGCATCCCAGCACACATTGCCAGGAAAGAGATCCTAAAACTTTTAGAGCTTTGTTGAAAATGGGCTTGTTTAATCTCATTTTACAGAAGAGGAATTCGAGAAGTCTAAGACAAGAACCAGGTCTCCTGATTCTCAGTTAATCCAGATCTTTTTGTTGTTGTTGTTCTTTTCTTTTTTTATAGTATCCTGCCTCATTACAGAGAAGGATAGTGACTGAATGGGTAGGAAGGGGGATTTAAAAGCTGGCTTTCAAAATGACTCCTCAGAATTAAAGGTGGCCCAATGAAGGAAGAATGAGTCTCCTGAGGGAGAATTATGGGACATAGGGTAGATGGATCATGAAATTTTATCAACTGTAAAATGATCTTTTTTGATGAATCAAAGGCTAGCTCAGGAGCTGCCTCTTCCATGAAGACCTCCTTGATCTTCCCAGTTGAAAATGGAATTTCTCCCTCTCAAATTTTCTTTGTCTTTATCATACTCCATGCTGCATCATACTTTCATGACACAGGTGTGGGCCGCCTGTGCACTTGGTAGGTACTATTTTGCCAGGTGTGTCTCTTCAGAAAGCATCAATGAGAGACTCCCACACAGGCATGCCAGGGATCCAAAGAGCTGGGCAAATTAAAAACCTACAATGTTTGGGTTCCATATTTAAACTAGGGGATAAAATTAGTTTAATTCTGTTTTTATTTTATACCCCCATATCAGGAATTTCCTTTCTCTGCCAAATGACCCACCTGTTAGAAACATACCCAGAAGGTGTTATCAAAACAAAAATGATATCTGTTCAAGCATTTTCATAGTAGCATTATATGTAACTTTTAAAAATGGAAAGAAACCTCAGTATCTAACAATATGGGAATGGTTAAATTGTGACTAAATGATGCACATGTAATACTATAGTCTTAAATAAACATGAAGAAGGCAAAGAAATCTGGAAATACTGTTACAAGATAATGCAAAGAAAAACAAAGAAGAACAAAGTATACCATATAAGTATGGTATACATATAAGAAGAACAAAGTAACACCATATAAGAGGAAATGTGGGTGAGATTAGTTGGATAAAAAATAATCCTTATGGTACCCTAAATAAAAAAATTGTTGATATTTTATGTGTTGGAGGTGATCAATTTAAATATAAATAGATTTGAGATAAATTTAATTAGTTATATTGATAGTCAATTTTTTTTAACATTTTTAAAAACAATATTTATATAACACCTACTATATGCCAGACGCTGTGCTAAGAGCTTTATAATGATCTCATTTGAAAAGATAGAAAAGAATCCTTTGCAAAAACCAACTGGTTCCCTTCTAATATTTTAATTAAGCATGATTTTTTTTTTCCAGGTATACTTTTTTTTTTCCTTTTTGGTGAGGCAGTTGGGCTTAAGTGACTTACCCAGGGTCACACAGCTAGTAAGTATCAAGTGTCTGAGGTCAGATTTGAACTCAGGTCCTCCTGACTCCAAGGCCAGAGCTCCATCCATTGTACCATCTAGCTGCCCCATTTCCAGGTATACTCTTGATAAATATGCAGATTATTCTCATAAAGATTTTTATTTATAAAAAAAGAAAAACAATCTAGGGGCAACTAGGTGGTACAGTGGATAGAGTACTAGCCCTGAAATCAGGAGGACCTGAGTTCAAATCTAGCCTCAGAACAAACACTTGACACTTACTAGCTATGTGACCCTGGGCAAGTCACTTTAATCCCAATTGCCTAAAAAAAAAAAAAAAGTAAAGTTATGACTTCTTACCAATGGATGTTCCTCAGTCACTTTTTGGGGGCATTAACACCATCTGTAATTTTTTCCCCATTCTTTTGGTATCTTCCCCTCCCTGAAACATCTAGTCAAGTTATTCCCTCAGTCCTTTCAAGATTGTACTGCTTCAAGCCTTTTTCCTTCTTGTGTCTGGTCCGGCATAAGTATCATTCTTACTCCTTCACATATGGGGGACTGAGGTATTTGGGTTAGAATGTGGTGCTTCCTCTGCCATTGCTGATGAATATATTGTTCTAGAAGCTGATGAGAATATCTCTTATGTCCCAGGGTTGGCACCAAGCACACGTCCCTAGGGATCCCAAACCCGTATTCAAAGAGATCCTGGGCCTCGGGGAGCCAGTACAGGGGATTTATCGAAGATTGCTGGGCTCTAGGTCCCTGAACGGAACTGGTTCTTTAAACATCCAGAGTCGCAGGGCCCGTTTCCCTTTTCGCCTGTACATATCAAAAGTAAGTGGGGTTGGAGGGTGCCCATTTGGGAATTTGAACTGGAGTTTTAATTTGAGGTCTTCACCACCTTGTGAAGGTGGGAAGGTCACCAAGAGTGGAAAAAGCCCTCTCTGCAGAATTGGGGAACCCGCGTTCAAATCCCCACCCCGGTCCTTACTGCCTGTGTAACCTCGGTCAAGCTCGGGTTTCTGATCTGTAAAAGAGAGGGGATTGGGTCACTTCCCTGTAAAAACCTTCAGGGCTCCGCACACATAGCGGAGCCGCAGCCGGGCGCTGGCTGCTCCCAGGGGCTCGCTGCCCCCCAGGGGCTCCCAGGCGCGCCGCGCACTTTGCAGCGAGCTCAGTCCCCCGCGCCGGGCTCGCTAGGAGCAGGCTCTGCCCTGGATAATGCTCATTTCCTGGCCAAGCTACTTGGCTCCAGAATACGAGGCCTCGGGGACCTTGGGAAAGTCACTTCTTGGCCCCACGTCTCAGTTTCCTCATCTGTAAAACTAGATGGCCTCTAAGGTCGCTTCCGTTCTAGGTCTACGAGTCTAGAACCTCTGAACCTCAGTTTCTTCCGCTGTAAAAGGAGGGCCCGGGCTTCCTCAGCCATGTGGTCCTTTGCAACTCTAAACCTACCTTTGTGAAGGAAGCCTGGAAGAAGCACTTATGGGGTGGGGGAGAGAAATGACCTGAGGGTGGGGGGGTCCGAGAGTTTAGGGGGGACCCCTGGTCCTGGTCAAGGCCTCTCTCCTTCAGTGTCATTTCCACGGAAAATCGCGCGTATTTGTCCGCACTCAAATGTGAAAACCAGCTTTCCTCCTTCTAGGCTGATTGACACTGCCCCCAACCCCAGCGCCCTCTGCAGCCAGAGCCCCGGGTTCAAGTCCACCTCTGACACGTAAGACCTGTTCGACCTTCCCCTGAGCTGAGCCCCCCGCCGTTGCCCTCCCTCCCGGACAACAATCTAGCGCTCCCAGCTTCCTCGTTCCTCCCAGCGCCGGGCCTGCGCGAGTTAAGGGGGCGGTGCGAGGGCCGGGGGCGGGGTAGCCCGGCCAGGCCTGCCCGCCGGCCCCGCCCCGCGGCCGCCCCACCCCAAGAACAGTCTTCAGCCTCCGGGAAGCCGCCGCCGCCGCCGCTGGAGCAGCTATGGCCGCCACCGGGGTGCTGCCCTTCATTCGGGGCGTGGATCTCAGCGGGAACGACTTCAAGGTAGGCTTGGGGGGTGGGGGGGGCGAGGGGCCGGCGGGCCCCCAGCCCGGCCTGCCGCCCAACTGCACGCCCGGATGTCCACCGAGCCCCCCGGGCTCGGGGGACTGTTTCCAGGCTCCCCATAGACTTGGCCCCCTCCTCCCTACCCCAGGCTCCCCATCTGGGACCGGGAGTGGGTGTATTTCACTAGGGGTTGGCCAGACTAGTGGGAGAACTGCCGGTTTCCTATGTCTCTGCCTCCCGCCCTGCGGCGGTGCGGATACTCCGTACCCGAAAGGTCCCAGGATCATAGATTTGGGGGTGCAGGGCACCTTGGAGGGTCCAAACTCGATGCGTTACAAATGAGGAAACTGAGGCCTGGGGAGAGGCTTAGGTGACTTGCCCCTGAGTCACACAGGCAGCAAGTGATAGAGCTAGAATCGAACTCAGGACCTCTGGCTTCAGATTGGGTGCATTTTTCACTGATCCGCCCAGTTTTGAGTGACCCTGCCTCCCCTCCCCCAAAGACGCACGGGTTCTCAGGAGCTCCGCAGACCTGCTCCACAGGGCCGGTCATTTAGGGCGGGCACCACCCAATGGGAAGCACCCAAGCTGAGAGTCCAGAACATCCGAGCTGGAAGAATCTGAAGAGATAAAAGGGGAAAAGGACTGGCCTTCCCGGAGTGAGTGAGCTGGTGGGTTTAGATGGACTAGAATCCAAAACTCTAGACTTCCCAGCTTTAGGCTAAATCCCACTGCTCAGTTATGTTTTGTCAAAGGGGAGGGTCTAAGCCTTCTTCCTGCCTCTCATCTGGCTCTCATCCAGCCAGCCCCCTGCTGCCCAAGCTCCCTCCGGTTCTGCTTAAATAACCTCACTTGGTAAGGGTTCTTTGAAGTGGGACCCCCTTAGACCTCTTGTCCTGTTTCAGGGGTCCTCAGCCTTCACCCCCAACTAAGAGACCAAGTGGCCTTTTGAGGACACTTCCCACCATCATCTCTATTTAGAAATCATAAGATTTAAAACTAGCCCAGGCTTTTAGTTCAGCTACATCATATTTCCTAGGAGAAAAATCAGTTTGTCAGGTGTCAACTCTGACCCCAACACAGCTTTTGGATACAGATTTTTAAAAATGAAACAATTCCTACTCAAGGAGCTTAATCTGAGACTCCTGAGGGAAAGCCAAGAAGACAGTAGCCTGGATAACCAGATGGAACGTAAGCTCTCTAAGGGCAGGGAGGTTTCATTTTTGCTTGCCTGGCACATGGGTACTTGACAACTTCTGGCTGGTGAGTTGATTAGTCAGAGCTTGAAGTGGGGAGAAATAGGTCTGGCCAACGAAGGGGCTTGGAGGTGTCATTGTATGTGGAGAGACCAGCTGGTAGTCACTGGGCCTCAATCTTTTCCTCCTCTGTGGGTCAGAGGGGTTCTGAGGTCTGTTCTATCCCTGGTATTCTGTGGTTCAGTCTTTGCACAGACACATTTTTCTCTTTCCTTCCTGAAATAATCACCTGTCAGCCCAGGGAGGAACGTGTAAGAGCCACCTTAGTGGCCTTCCAGCCTCTAAGTACAATGATCTCTGTTCCTAAGGTGTTGAGGATTAAAACATTGATATGACTGACAGTTGGGACCTAGTGATGCATCTTTACCCCTTGTCTTGAGATTTGAGGGACTCGAAGAAGGGTATATATATGTATGTGAATGATTGTATGTTGGGAAGGGGAGGTGT